GCATATGTGTGTAGTGGTGGGTGTCACTTTGGTTGGCTCTAGTGTCTCATGGTGTGCACGTCATTCTTTCTTGATATTCCTCCCACGGTTGCCACACCTTTGAAAAAGTGCCCATGGTGTTCTGTACCTGCGCTGTCAATTTGTCCATGGTGAAATTGTCCTGTATTTTGTGAATGACTTTGCTCATAGGGGGCATGTCGGGGCTTAGCCATTGTTGGGTCAGTGCTCTTCTGGCTGCTAGGGTCAGTTTGTTAACTAGTTTCTGTTCTTTTGTCGTCAGGTCATCCTGTGGTTTGGCTAATAAAAATGTCCATGGGTCTCTGTGTATTGGTCTCTCCAGGACTGCTGTCATTAATGTCTCTATTTCCGACCAGAATTTCACTACCTTGGGACATGTCCACCACATGTGGATGTATGATCCTCTCTCACCACAGCCTCTCCAGCAAGTATCTGTAGTGGTTTTCCCCATTCTATATAATTTGGCCGGGGTGGCGTACCACCTCAGGAGTGTTTTATATGCCTGTTCCTGAAGTGTTACGCATATGGAGACTTTGGCTGTCGCTTCCCATATATCCCTCCAGTCCTCCCCTTCCAGTGTTTGGTGTAGATCTTTCTCCCATTGGGTGATATAGGTGAGGGGTTCTGCGTTCCTCTCCGGGGCACTAAGTTGTGCGTAAAGCCCGGTAATCAGTCCCTTGCGTGTGGTTTCTGTTATGCATAATCTTTCAAAGCTAGTCATTGGAGCCTTAGCTACTTCTCTAACTCTAGGATGGTTAGCGAAGTCCCTTAGTTGTATATATCTGAAAAAGTCTCTAGTCTGTAATGGCGTTGTCTGTTTTAGTTCGTCAAAGGTTTTGAGTGTGTCTCCCTCGTATAGGTGATAGTATCTCTGCAGGCCTGCGTATTCCAGACCTTTGAAGTCCCTCACCCGCATACCTGGTGTGAATGCCTTGTTTCTCAAATATGGGGTGAGGGCATTCTCGTTAGTGCATATTTTTGAGCGTTGGCGTCCCATATTTTAATGGAGTTGAGTATAGATGGGCAGTCTGTGAGTAAGGGTGGTCTGTCTGCTTTTGGTACCCAGATCCAAAACTGGGGAAGGTCGCTTCTCATCACTAAGGATTCCAGGTCTGCCCATCTGCGTCTATCTGGGGGTGAGTGCCACTCTATTATTTGGTCTAGCTGTGCCGACAGGTAATACAGGTGAAGATTAGGAAGTCCCAGTCCCCCTAGTCCCTTTGGTCGGTAGAGTATGCGTCGGGCTATCCTATGTCTTTTGTGTGCCCATATAAATTGGTCTATGTTGGTTTGTAGGGATTGGAGGTCCCCTTTCGTGACTTTCGTGGGCAGTGCCTGGAAGAGGAACAGCATCCTCGGTAATACATTCATTTTAATTGCGTGAAGACGGCCTATCCATGAGATCGGCTTCTCATGCCATTTTTCTAAGTCTTTTGTTATTGTTTTGATCATTGGTGTGTAGTTTTCCGTATACAGTCGTGAGACCTCTTTTGTTAGTTTGACCCCCAAGTATTTTATATGTTGGTGGTTCAGCTTTATATACGTCATCCCCCCTATTAGCGCCGTGTCTTCCGCCGTCAACCCCAGCGGCATGGCTTCTGATTTGTCCATGTTTATTTTATAGCCTGCCACCTGGGCGAACTCCTCTAGTAGCCGGACTAGACTCAGGAGGGAGTTCTCCAGGTCCGTGAGAGTGAGCAGGATGTCATCTGCGTACGCAGATACTTTATACTGCTCTGTTGCTATTGTCAGTCCCTTTATGTTTGGGTGTTCCCTAATCCTGTAGAGGAGGGGTTCTAGGGCTAGTATGAAGAGGAGCGGCGAGAGAGGGCAGCCCTGCCTCGTGCCGTTACTTAGTTGAAATGGTTTTGGGATCGCTCCTGGTATGGCTATTTGGGCCTGTGGATTCATGTACAGTGCTTTGACCGCTGTGATGTAGTTTTCTGGTAGGCCTATGTGGCGTAGGGCGAACAAGTAATACCATTGGATCCTGTCGAAGGCCTTCTCCGCGTCCAGCGATAGGACGAGAGAAGGCGTCCGAGTTTTACCGGCCCACCAGATCAGGTCCACTGCACGTCTAGTGTTCTCATACAGTTGCCTAGTTGGCACAAAGCCCACCTGGTCTTGGTGGACCAGCCTGGGCAGAATGTGACCCAGCCTGATGGCCAGGATCTTGGCGTAGATTTTGGAGTCTACATTATTCAGGGAGATGGGGCGGTAATTGTTCACCTTCGATTCATCCCGTCCCGGTTTCTGGATAAGAACCACGTTTGCCGTGGCGAGCTCTGCGTTGGGACATCCCCCCTCCATCCATTCCTGATACATTGTTGTCATGTGAGGTGCTAATTCTGCTCGCAGTGCTTTATAATAGGCCCCGTCAAACCTGTCTGGTCCTGGTGTCTTATTGCCCTCTATCAATCCTATGGCCCTGTCTACTTCTTCTGTCGTAATTGGTGACTCTAGGTCTGTTAGATCTTCCCGATTTGGTTTGGGTAGGTTTATACTGGCCAGGAAGCTCGTGACTGCCTCTACGTGTTCCCTTTTGGTTTCATCTTTCTCCGGGGAGTGATTGTATATTTGCCGTAGGAAATTGGTGAATTCCTCGGCAATGTCCTGTGGGGAAGTGAGGGGTTGGCCCTTTTCGTTGGTGATGGATGTGATGTGTTTGTGTTTTTGTTTGGGTCTGAGGGCTCTAGCTAATAACTTATCCATTTTATTGGACTTTTCGTAAAAAAGTCTTCTCGATCGGGTGATATCTCTGCTTACCTCATCCAAGAGGAGATTCATCAGCGCATGTCTGATGTTTTGTATGTCGTCTAGTGTGGGCTGTGTCGGGTTCTGTTTGTGTTGCATTTCCGCTTTACGGAGGGCCTTCTGCAGTTCCGTTAGTTTTTCCATTTTTTGTTTTTTTATTTCGTGTCGCTATTTTTATTAGGGTTCCCCGCAGGACCGCTTTGTGGGCCGCCCACGTCATAGTGGGGGACATTCCTACCGTGGTGTTTAATTCAAAGTACTTGTTTACTTCTGTCTTAAGTAGCTCTAGGGTGTCTTGGTCTCTAAGGAGGGAGTTGTTAAGCCTCCACCTCCAGGGGGCCCGAGGCCCCGGTGTGTGGAGAGTCAGGGCAATGTCAGCGTGGTCTGACCAGGATATCATATTTATGGCTGACGACTTGACCCATCTCATGCCCTGTTGATTTGTGAGGAATACGTCTATTCGGGAGTAAGTGGAGTGTACTGCGGAGTAGTGGGTATAGTCTAGTGTACCTGGGTGTTGCAACCGCCAGGGATCCAGAAGCCCAGTGTTTTGTAAAAATTTGTTTAGTAAGCGATCCTGTCCTCCTCTACCCTGTGATCTGGGTTGTCCCGGTTTGCCACTGCGGTCGACCGCGGGACACGGCGCTGCGTTCAGGTCACCCCCTAGGATCAATATACCCCCCGTCAAAGAGTTTATGAGCTTTTCCAGGGTTGTCCAAAAGTGGGCGTCAGGGATATTAGGGGCGTATACGTTTATGAGGTGATATTTGGTTGCGTTGATCAGTCCCGTTAGGATTATAAACCGTCCATCCGTTTCTCTGTGTATGGACTGTATGACCAGTGGGCATCGTTTGTGGATGACTATTTCTACTCCCTTTGTCTTACGGAGCGAGCGGGCCGCATATGCTTTCGTATATATGTGGTCTATGATTTGAATCTTGGAGGTCTTAGGGAGGTGGGTTTCCTGTATGAACGCTATGTCTGCCTTCTGTCTGTGTAGTTCCCTGAGTAAAAGTCTGCATTTGTTTGGCACATTAAGGCCGTTTACGTTGAGTGATGTAATTTTTTTTTTTTCCAATTTGACAATTTTTATTTTATCAAAGAACACAATTGAGGGGTACAGAAAGGAAAAAGGGGGAGGGTACGCAGGTATAGTGCATTGTTCTCATACACATATAAATCAAGCGAATCATCATATTGCACAGGCCGGAGCCAATCAGTGGTTTTCCCCTTTTTTTTTTTTTTTTTTTGCAGTTTGGCAATTTTCGGTAGGGACACGTGGTTCCAGGGAGAGACTAAGGATGATGGGGTTGTGTGTATATATCAGTATACCATGCTGGTGACACCATATCTACTCTAGTCTTTCGTGTCGTCCTGCTATAACTGCTTGTACTGCTTGCGGTGTCTCAGTAGGAGGGAGAGTACAAAAAAAAAAAAACCCTTGCGTGGGGTCTCCTGTGCCGTGTAGGTGATGTTTAGAGGAGCCGTTGACTGCGTAAAGGGCTGCCTCATCCCTGAGCGGCTGCCCATGGGGGGGGGGAAGAGAGAGGGTGGAGGGTAAAAAAAACTAGGAAGTCGGTATGTTCTTGCGATTCCGCGAGTGTCTGGTTATATCTAATTATGTTGTTTTGAGCCTCAACCTGTCCCTCATAGTCGTTGGTTCCCTTTTGGTTCTATATATGACATCCACATTGCATGGGCTGTGGTGCAGCCTTTTCCTATTTTTGATTGTTTCCACATGGCCAATTCATATTCCAGCGTGGTAGTTACCATTGCGGCAACTTCTGGCACCGTAGGAATATTCTGTGTTTTCCATTGTTTGGCTAGCATTGTGGTGGCTGAGGAGAGTGTGATGAAGATGAGTTTGGCTATGCAGTGAGGCACCCCTTTTGGCATGAGTTTGAGTAGCATGGTTTCAATATTGCGTTCCAGTATGCACCCTGTGGCCCCCTGTATAAGGTTCGCTATTTGTTCCCAGTAGGGCCGCACCAGATCGCACGTCCACCATATGTGTATTTGTGTGCCCTCCTGTGTCTGGCAACGCCAACACCTGTCGCTTGTGTTCGGGTATATTGCTTTTAGGCGAGTGGGTACCATATACCACCTGTAAAGTAGTTTTCTCGCGGCCTCCTGATGAGACACGCAAGCGGTTAGTCCTTTATGGTTGCTATAAATGCTATCCCACTCTTCCTGTGAGAGTGTTCTGCCTATATCCTTGTTCCAGTCTGCTATAAAGCACCAGACCGGCTCATTTGTTGGGGAGTTAAGGAGTTTATAAGTGAGTGATAGTGCGGCGGATTGGTGTTAGGTGGAGACACATCTTTTCGAAGTGTGTGTGGTTGGTGTCGAACGACTGTGTAGGGCTTTTTATCCCCTTGTTGCTGATTGTTGATATTAGCTGCCCATACGAGAATGTGAGATGTGGTGGGATGTTGTATGTTGCCTGTAAGGTTGACATTGTTTGTGGCCCTTGGGGGGTGCAAACCTGATGTAGGTGTGTGATATTGCATCTTTGCCAGGCTCTGTAAGGAAACGTGTCAATACACAGCCCGATGGTGCGAAGCGGAGTTGCCATGGACCAGGGCTTGGCCGAGCATAGGGCAGTTCTATGTGTGTCCCAACAGGTGTACATTAGTTTGGTCGTGGGGAGTATGCTTTGCGCTGTACGCCTCAGTTTTTTAGGCGCCCAGACCGATGCAGGGAGATTTAGGACCTCGCAGCAGCTGGCTTCGATGTCTATCCATTGGGGAGTGTATGTGGGGGAGTGCATGGTGAGGATGTTAGTTATCTGGGTTGCTTGGTAATAGGCTTTAATATTGGGGAATCCCAAACCCCCTTTATCTGTCGGTTTCATCAGGAGCGTTCTAGGGACCCTAGGGTGTTTTCCGCCCCAGCTAAATCTAATTAGGGAGGTCTGCAGTCTTTGTAGATACGTCTGGGGAAGGAATATTTGCAGGGAGCGGAACAAGTACAGGATTTTTGGTAGTATAGTCATTTTGACGGCCGCTATACGACCTAGCCATGAGAGATATTTATTCTGCCACGACTTCAGAATGTGTTCCACTTCTTTGAGGAGTTTAGCGTAGTTGGCGTCGAAGAGGTCTGTGAGTCTCTTAGTTATTTTAATGCCTAGAAATGTGAGGTGATCGTCTCTCCAGTCGTAATTAAAGTTGCGTCTATAGCGTTCTTCGTCTGGTTTAGCCGTGTTAAGGCACATTGCCTGGGTTTTGGACAGGTTTAGTTGGTAGTATGAGTTGTCGCTATATTTTTGGATTTCTTTCTGTAGATTTGGTAGGGATACCGTCGGGTTGGAAAGTGTGAGGAGGATGTCGTCCGCGAAGAGGTTCAGTTTGTATTCCTTGCCACCTATGGTTACCCCCTGTATGTCCTGATTGTTGCGGATAGCTATGGCGAGCGGTTCAAGGGCTAGAACATAAAGTAATGGGGAAAGTGGACATCCCTGACGTGTGCCGTTCGTTATGTTAAATGCCTTGGAGCCAAAGCCCGAGTTCAGGACAGTGGCCGACGGCGAGCTATAGAGGGCTTGGACCATATTCAGGAATGATGGTGGGAATCCGTATCTATGTAGCGTTACTTGTAAGAATTTCCAATTGAGCCGGTCAAACGCTTTTTCCGCGTCTAGTGATAGTATCGTGCACTGCTGTTTGGCCCGGTTGAGATAGTGGAGGATATCTAGTACTTTGCGGGAGTTATCTGGACCCTGTCTGCCTGACACGAACCCCACTTGGTCCGTCGCGATCAAGTTTGGTAGTAGGTGTTTTAAGCGCTCCGCATATATTTTTGCATATAATTTAGCGTCTGCGTTGAGAAGTGAGATGGGTCTAAAGTTTGGGCAATGTGTCGGTGCTTTACCGGGCTTCGGGAGAGTGATAATGTGGGCCGCTAAGAATTCGGGTGGCGCGAAGCCCTGTGTCGTAGCGAAGTTGAGGGCTCGTGCGATATAGGGGCTTAAGGTGAGTTTGAATGTATTATAGTAGAGATTAGTGAGGCCATCAGGGCCTGGGGCTTTTGATTTTGGCATGGATTCTATTAGTTGTGTTACCTCGTGAGTAGAGATCGGTTCTGTGAGATGTGCTACTTGGTGGGCTGTGAGTTTGGGTAGGTCAATCCCGTCTAGGTAGTTTTGTATTGAGGTGTTTGTTGGCTGTGTGACAGACGTGTTGTCTTTTAAGTTGTAGAGGGAGCTGTAATAGTTCGCAAACGCGTTACATATTTCCGTGGGCTGTATCATCTTCTGGCCTGTGGGGGTCAGTAGGTAGGGGATTTTGGTTTGGGCTTGCCTGTCTCTGAGTCTCTGGGCCAGTGCTTTACTGGCTCTGTTCCCCAATACAAAGGTTGTGGCTTTTAGTTTTTTAATTGCGTAACTCGCTTTTTGGAAGTTTGCTGTGTTAATGTAGCGTTGGAGTTTGGTTATTTCCTCTTGTGTGCCTTTGGAGGGGGAGAGCTGGTTGCTTTTGTGGAGGTCATGTAATTTTTTCAGGTTTTGGATATGTGTTGTGTGGTGTGTTTTCTTGAGGTAGGAGGCTCTGCGGATCAGCAGTCCTCTGATCACCGGTTTGTGGGCCAGCCACAGGGTCATGGGGGATATGTCTGGGTTGTTGTTGTTATTGAAGTATGTTTGCATGTCTTGTTGTAGTGACAGGGCGAACTAGGGATCGTTTAGGAGTTGTTCATTCAATCTCCAGGGGCTGCGGTTTTTGTAGTTGTATTGGTCCTCAATAGTGAGTATCACTGGGTTGTGGTCTGACCAGGTGGAGGACCCTATCTCACACGTTTTCACCCTGTTGAGGTGTGCACCGTGCAGTAGGAAGCCGTCTATTCTCGAGTAGGTGTTGTGTACTTGTGAAAAATGGGTATATTCCCTGTCCTGTGGGTGCAGCGTTCGCCAAACGTCGTAGAGGCCGAATGTGTGTAAAAGTGTGGTCAAAGATCTACAGCGTTTATGGAGTGTTTTAGCCCTGTGTGAGGAGTGCTTTGCTGTTGAATCCATTAGGGGGTCCTGGAACTGGTTGAAGTCCCCACAAAGGATAGTCGTGCCTGTCTGCAATTGAGCTACTAGGGTCAGTAGTGTGCTGAGGAAGTTACCCTGGTTTACGTTTGGGAGGTATGCATTAATAATAGTGTAAGTGGAATTGTTGATGGTGCATACTAAGATGAGGTACCTTCCCTGTGGGTCTTGTCTCACCGTTATTTCCTCAAACGCCAAGTGGCGGCTGAGGAGAATTGAGACCCTTTTACTTTTTGTGGTTGCTGTTGCATGGTATTGGTGGGGGTAGAGCGTTTTCCCTAGCACTGGATTGGAATTCCCCTGGAAGTGCGTTTCCTGAAGGCAGATTATGTCGGCTTGTGAGGCCTTCAGTTCTCTGAGTAGAGTGTGTCTTTTGTGCGGGATATTTAGTCCTCTAACATTGTGGGTGTATAGTTTCATGTTGTGAGCATTGTGTGGTTTGTGCTATTCTGGTGTTGAGTTCTATACTTGGTTTGTGTGGGGGGAGGTCCGCTTGGCCCTGGGCCTTGATCTCCGTAAACCATTGTGCAGGTGTGTTGGACCTGACCTAGAGGCGGGGTCTTGTTGTTACATAATATATTCCAGACATTTTGTTTCAAGTGACATACCAATGTACAACATAACTTAAAAAACATTAACTTAGAACTGTAAACGGGTACCACTATTGAGGTACCTATGTAAAAAAAACGAATCGAAGGTGAAAGTGAACCTTCTTAGGTGGGGGTAGGTGAACGTGTCGGGCTAGGGTGGGCCCGGGAGTGGGCGGCTGCAAGAGCGCTAAGTCTCTCGAATAGCACAAGGAGCTCTAGATTTCTAGGGGTGGGTGAACCGTTCACTCTGTTGTCAGCCCGTGCCCTGGCACCGTTATAGCCTCTGAGACCAGTGCAACTTGGCGTGGGTCGAGTATGGTGTAGGGGTTCGTCAGCAGTTGTATGCATTGGTGTGTTCACACGTAACCGTGCCCTCATACGCATGCCTTAAAGCCCGCTAGCACACACCCGGCCGTGCACTCTCATGCAACTGTCGTTATTAGTGGTCGATTTTTTTTTTATTTTTTTTTTATTATTTTTTTTTTTTTTTTTAAAGAGGTTATAGATGGGTTGGTCTCCTGAGGTGGGCTGCTCTGTCGTGGAGTCCTGCTCTAAGCCTGGGGACTGTTTAGTGGACGCCCCTGGGTTGATGCGATAAATGGCTAGAGCCGGGACTACAGGCTCCAGGGCACATCTGAGTTGACATTATATTCCCCCTTGTTCCCCACCCCGTCACCTAAACAGCGCCTACAGTCTCCTATACGGGTACAATTTGAATAAGTGATGCTCTGTACACATTAGCCGGCTCGACCAGAGCCAGTGTTCATTGTTACGCATCTGTGTGTACACAGTAATGTCTGTTCGGTCTTTTTTGTCGTTATTTTACTCACTGTCCCGAGGATAGTAGCTGCAGTCACACCTGTGTGTTGGGGGTACACCTGGTTGCCTATAGGTTGGGGCGCAAGGTGTGCCTTCTTTGCTTGGCAGGTCTCCATTCCTTCTGCAGCTTGATCCCTTGGTCTTGTCCTGGCGGGGCAGGGGCCTCCGCTATGCCCCACGAATGGAGAAGTTCCATGCCATCCTTGATGGAGGTGACTGTGTGGAGTGTGCCGCCTTTGGCGATCGTTAGCTTAACTGGGTATCCCCATCTGTAGGGGATGGAGTGTTGCCTGAGCGCCTCCGTGACATTCCGGTATGCTCTTCTTCGCCTCAGGGTTTCCGCGGAGAGGTCTGCGAAAATTAGTATATCTTTGAACTTGGGCGGTAAATCTCTTTTAGTGCGGTGCGTTTTCATTATCAGTTCTTTTATATGAAAGAAGTGTACTCGCATGAGCACATCCCTGGGGGTGGTTAGTGGGAGATGGCTCGGTCTGGCCACTCTGTGGATCCTGTCTAGGACTAACATGTCCCCTGGTATGTCCGGTATTATGGAGTGGAAGAACTCCGTTGCGAAGGCGGTGAGTTCAGTTTGCGGGACCTCTTCTGGGACCCCTCTTAGTCGGAGGTTGTTTCGGCGGGAACGGTCTTCGAGGTCCATTAGTTTGTGTTAATACCGCTCCAGTCTGCCTTCCAGATCCTCCATTTTGTCCGCCATGGTGTTGTGGGCCGCGGATACCTCCTCCATTTTGCTCTCCAGGTGCGAGGTCCGGTTCCCCAGGTCCATCATATCTTTTTTTAGGTCTTCGATTGCCTCTTTCACTGTAGCCTGCATTTTGCCGGCTCCCTCGTCTAGCATACGCTGTAAGACCGCCGCCGTCACCGTTGCGCCGTCCATGTGATCGCTGTCGGAGTCGGCGCCATCTTGGGCCTGCGGGTCCGGCGGTTTGTGAGACGGTGTGCGAGCAGTGAAGAAGGCCGCCTTGTCTTTTGTCTCCGCCACCTTTTTAGATCTGTTCTGTGACATCTTGGGGGTAGGTGAGGGTCGCTTGTGTGCTTTTAGTCGCTGGTAAATGCTTATTTAAACAGCCGCCCGGACGGAGCTCTCTCAGTGCGCGTCCATCCTGCTCGAGCGTCGGCCACGCCCCCCGAGTGATGTAATTTTAAGTGCCATGTGATAATGCGAGTGGTGTGCTAGTGTACCTTGTGCATCTTTGCCTTGTAGGTGCATAGTCCGGAGCATCCGCCTTGTTGTCGCGCGCCGCCCGGCGGTCCCCCCGGGGTGGTTGCCAAATGTGCCTTGTCTCAGCGGAATTGTGGGCAGGGGTAGGGGAGGAAAGAAAACAGGTCATGACAACACATATTGGTAACCTATTAACATAACCCATAAAACATTTATCCCAACTTAGTGGAGGATGATCCTCCGTGATCCTTCTACCTGTTGGATCTAAAATCCCGGTCTTATCTCTCGCCAGGTCGATTGGTGGTGGCCACCCGCCGCGTCAAGAAGTGTCTCAAACGGGGCGGGTGTACAGCCCCAGAGCACCCCCGCGAGGCTCTAAGCTTGTGTCTAACTTGTCGTGGGTGTTTACGACATAGGGTGTGACGATCACCGGCTCCTATGAGCCTATCTGTATAGGTGTGTCCTGAGGGAGGGGGTGTGAATGGCCCTTCGCCTGTCCTGCTGTTTTCCTCCGTGTCTTGGGTATCTGATCCCTCTCCCTGGGCCCTTTGGGTTTTTTTTTTTGTCTTTTTTAAACTTTTCCCTTACTTGCTTCCCCTCACTGTGTGCCCCTTTGTGTGGAAGTGCTAGATGCGCAGTTGTGTCCCCTTGAACCTTTCCCCGGTGGGGGGGTGGATGTATGTCCTCTCCCACCTGTCACTTCCAACTTCCAAGCCCTTGCCTAGTTACTGTGGCCTTGTCTGGCGGGAAACAGCTGGTTCATGCCCGATTTGAGCGTCTCCAACGATAGGGGGCCCTCTGCCAGCAGTACTATGGCCGATGGTTTGGTCTGGTCTAAGCCTGTTGCCTTTTGATCAGACACCTCCCGGAGTATATGTGGGATGGCTTGTTGTTAACCCCAAAAGGGTCGTTAAATATACCATCCCCCCTAATGTTAGCGAGTTTGCCTGCTTTTTTTTTTTTTTCTTCCAATTGTATATGGAGTGGCTATATTCGTACCCTTCTCCATTCGGGTAATCTCCCCCTCCTTCCCCTCCCTATCTTTCGTCAGACCCCATGTCCCCTCTATCCCCTACCAGCTTTCAATTTTAACTATGTCCGCAATGTCCCTTTAATGTGATGTATCATATATATCAACTTGCATGTTGTATTGTCCATGTTGCGTGTCCCTCAGGTACGGGTCGCCATCTTTGTTGCCTATCTCGCTCTGCGTTCCAGCCATTCCCTGGGAAGCAGTCCCAGCGCCCTGGGCCCCCTCGGTGGTAAGGTCAGGTCTCCCGGTACCTCGATGCCCAGTTCTTGGAGGACGCCTCTGGGGTCCATGGATGGTGTCAGCACTGTCGGTCTTGGGCCATTAAAGATGAGCATCTTAAAGGGGAAGCCCCATGCGAAGCGCAGGCCTTTGGCTCTGAGGAGGTCAGCAATGGGTTTCCATTCTCGTCTTCTTGCGAGGGTAGTTGGAGCGATGTCTTGGTAGATCTGTAGCGTCTTTCCTTTATACATGTATGGCTGGAGCCTGCTTTGCTTGAGAATTGCTTCTTTCGTGGAAAAAAGTGCCACCTTATGATGACATCTCTGGGAGGGCTGTTTTGCGGTCCCTTAGCTCGCAGTGCCCTGTGTATCCTGTCGATGTGCCACAGCTGATCTGGTATCTGTGGTAGGCTGGTGCGGAAGATCTGCGCCAGTAGCTGCTCAAGGTCTCCATCCCCTAACTCCTCTGGCAGGCCTCTTATGCGCATGTTGTTGCGCCGTGTTCTATTAGAGTTGTCCTCCAGCTCCATTTCCAGTTCAGCGACCCTGGTGAGTAGTGCGTTTGTGGCTGTGGTATTTTCATTGTGTGCTGCTACCACATCTTCCAGCCTGCTCTCTAAGGCCTCTGTACAAATGCCTATGGCCTGGATTTCTGCCTTCACCTCCCTGGCTGATCTGTCTATCTCCCCTGCCAGGTACCCCTTTACCTCCTCCAGAGAGTGGAGTATAACGTTCTGGGGGTCCTCCGTGTGCCCAAATAGGGAGGATGTCGGCGTGGCCAGTGAGCCAGGAGTGGAGGTGCCCGTCGGGCTTTCCGCGCCATGTGCACCACGTGGCGCGGGCTTAATAGCGGCCAGCATGTCTGCGACAGATTGATTGCCGCCACGCTGTTTCTTCCCCGCCGCCTTCCTCTGTGACATGGTGCTCGGGGGTCCCTGCGAGCTTGCCGAGACTGGCGCTGTGTGTAGGGGTGAATTTTACCGATAAGTGCAGGTTGCCGGGCAGGTTGCAGAGCCTCTGGTGCGGAGCTCCGGAGTTAGGCTGCCATCACTCTCGGAGTCCAAGCCACGCCCCCACTTGGGGAGATTCTTGCGGGTCAAATCTGTGAGGGGCTTTACCAGGGTAATCGGGCACAAATTTCCTATAATACCCTGCGGTACCTAAGAATGCTAAGACCTGGGTTTTGGTGCGGGGGGTTGGCCATTTGGCTACCGCCTCTATTTTGGCCGGTTCTGGTTTCTGTTGTTCCTACTCGGTGTCCTAAATATTGGACTTCGGCCATCCCTATATGGCACTTACTGGGTTTAAGGGTTAGCCCTGCCTCCCTAATACGGTCTAAGACTGCTCCTACATGGCTCAGGTGGTCGGTCCAGGAATAGCTGAAAATCGCTATGTCGTACAGATAGGCGCACGCGTATTCCTGAAACCCGTCTAATAGTCTGTCTACCATCCTCTGGAAAGTGGCTGGGGCGTTTTTCATTCCGAATGGCATAACTCTAAACTGGTATAGGCCAAACGGAGTGACAAACGCTGACTTCGGAATGGCGTCCTCTGCTAAAGGAATTTGCCAATATCCTTTGCACAGGTCGATCATAGTTAGATAATGACCTCGGGCCATCTTGTCTAACAACTCGTCTATGCACGGCCTGGGGTAGGCATCTGATACCGTTTTATCGTTGAGCCTTCTATAATCTACGCAGAAGCGGGTTGTCCCATCCCGCTTTGGCACTAGTACCACTGGAGACGCCCAAGGGCTATCTGAATGCTCAATAACCCCTAATTGTAACATTTCCTCAATTTCCTTACGCATATGCTCTTTTACTGCTTCTGGAATGCGGTAAGGAGGTTGACGGAGGGGTGTTTGGCCTGGGGTCTCCACCCTGTGGGTGGCTAATGGGGTATACCCGGGAAGGTTGGAGAAGGTGGCTCCCTTCTCCCTAATTAAACTCTGGGCCTGGGTTTTCTCCTGCAAAGTTAAGCGCTCCCCTAACTGTACTGCGGCTAACTCTTCCTTCTCGGTTTCTCTGGCGAGCAGATCTGGTAACGGCAAATTATCTGTGTCCTCTGCGGCAGAGGCACATATTGCGGTCACCTCTTCTGTGCGCTCGTTGTATGGTTTCAGCATGTTTACATGAAGCATGCATCTTCCCCCTGCCCCAGCGCATGGGCCAATTATATAGGTGGTATCGCAGATTTGCTCTACCACCTTGAATGGGCTCTGCCAGGAGGCCTGCAGCTTGTCAGTAGGTACGGGTCGTAGGATCAGCACCTTCTGCCCGACCTTAAAGCTGCAGTCCCTGGCCCACCTATCATACCATCTGTGCTGTCTTTGCTGGGCCGCTTGGAGGTTGGTACGTACGGTCTGGGTCAACGCCTCCAAACGGTCCCGAAATTCCAGCACATATGGTACGATAGGGGTACCATTAGTGGTTACTCCCCCCCTCCCAGTGTTCTCTGATTAAATCTAGGGGGCCCCTCACTCTCCTTCCAAATAATAGTTCAAAGGGAGAGAACCCAGTGGTTTCTTGGGGCACTTCTCTATAGGTGCCGGAGGGACTAGGTTTTTTCAGTGGTCCTATTATGTCCACTGCTACTCTACTGAAGGGTTCTTCTATTATGGGTAGGGAGTGCAGTTTAGCTTTATATCTGTCTCCCCTTTTTCCAACCCTCTGGCAGGTATCATAGGTATTGCAATATTGTCTAATATCCTGGGAGATACCTGGCCAGAAGAAATTTTGAGTCAGCCGATGTTTGGTTCGGCTGATTCCTAAATGCCCTGACACTGGTACGTCGTGCGCTATGCGCATTAACTCTTGCCTGTATTTCCTAGGCACAATTAACTGTTTAATGGGAATGGGAACTGATCCGGCCACTATCTTCTCAGCATATCGGTATAATAGCTCTTTATCCCAAGCATACTTTTCTCCTTCTATGCCTGCCTGGTTCTTGTCTATTCGGTCTTTATAAACCTGCAGGGAAGGATCTAGAGCGACCTCGCTACCAAATTCTAAAGGGGCATCCCAGGGTAGGATAGTGTGGTTGGGGTTGGCATTGCTTACCTGAGCCTCAGAGTCGGTGGGTGGTGCTGTGGTGCGAGCCTGTTGTCGAGTGATGACTGGATAAGCCTCCTGCTTGGTAGGTCGTGGAATAAAAGCGGAGGTGAGCTCCCCCAAGTCATTTCCCAAAATATCATCCCCACCTCTACTTGCCAAATGTATTTTGGCAGTGGGTACTTTGTAAATGGCTCCCCCTGTCACCCGTACCGCTATGCAATCCCCCGTGAGTTGTTCTTTTGAAACCAGATGGTTTCGGACCAACGTGATGGTGGCCCTGGAATCCCTCAGTCCTTCCATACGCTTCCCTTCTATATAGATCACTTGCCTATGGCTTTGGCGGTTGTCTGATGCCGCTTGCACTGGGTTAACTTCGTGGAGTGTGCCTAGCGGTTCCTCCATCTGGGCGGTGGTGGATGGCTGTGCAAACGCTCCGGTCTGATAACAATGTACTGCTGCTCTAGGCCCCAGTGATGGTCCTTGGTTGGGCCCTGATGGTCGTGCCCTGTTTCGGGGACAATCTCTTTGTACATGTCCAAGTTGGTTGCAGGTATGGCATCGGATGTGTGCTCGGTTATTGTATCGGGGTTGGTACGGATTGTATGCTCCCCCTGATCGTGGGGGGTCCACCGCGGCAGGCCGGTAGGTGCTTGCTTGGGGAAATACTTTAGGTGGGGGTCGCTGTTCTCGCCTAGTATCCTAGTGCTCGTCCGCGAGTTCAGCGGCATCTTGTAAGACACAGGGTTTACGGTCCCTTACCCAGTTCTGCATCTTGGTGGATAATCTCCGGTAGAATTGTTCCAGTAGCAGTAGCTGCATGATATCCTGCTTAGTGGTTTCTTGCGCTGCCTCAATCCACCCGGTGGCTGCTCTTTGTAGGCGATTTTAACCTCCCCCCCCCCACGCCCCATATCCAAGGACGATGGCAGGTCACTTTCAGCAGGCGGATCTCTGCTTGTGGTCGAACAACGTTAGGGGCCTTAACGCCCCGGAACGGCGCTCACACCTTCTCCGCACCCTGTGGGTGGCACGCGCGTCTCTGGCATTCGTCCAGGAAACTCACTTCCAGGGGCGAAATGTACCAGCGCTGCGAGACACCCGCTTCCCGACGGGATACTTTGCCAACCACCCACATGCCAAAAAGTCGGGGGTGGCAATTCTCATAGCCCGTACAGTGCCTTTTCAAAGCCAAGCTGAGCTGGCGGACCCAGAAGGCCGCTATATATTCGTGAAAGGCACGATTGCCGGACATCTGTATACCTTGGCATGTGTCTATGCACCCAATATGGCACAGCACCACTTCCTGACACGCACAGTGGCGTACAGACCTGGTATGTAGCCACAGGGCCAGCCTCTTCCCCTGGGGGGCCCAGGAGCCGGCCACCCGAGGGCCCCCCGAGGCTGGCCCTGCTGACCCCGGCGGGCAGGTGGCCGGTCAGGCAGGCAGGCGGGCGCGCGAGAGAGCACTCAGTGCTTCCTCTTCAGCTCCCTCGCGCACCGCACTGATGCCGGAGCCGGAAGATGACGTCATCTTCCGGCGCCGGCATCCCTATGCGGCGCGCGAGGGAGCTGAAGAGGAAGCACTGAGTGCTCCCTCGCGCGCGCGCCCGCCTGCCCAGGAGCCCAGCAGCACCACTGGACCCCAGGGAATCCCCCTCAGCACTCCAAAAGGTAAGGAGGCTGGGGGGATTAAATAAAAAAAAAAAAAAGTGTTAGTGTTAGAGTGTGTGAGTGTTAGAGTGAGTGTTAGTGTGTGTGTGTCTGCTAGTGAGTGTGAGTGTGAGAGTGAGTGTTAGTGTGTGTCTGCTAGTGAGTGTGAGAATGAGTGTTAGTGTGTGTGTCTGCTAGTGAGTGTTAGTGTGAGTGTTACTGTGTGTGTCTTACTGAGTGTGTGTGTGTGTTAGTGAGTCTGTTTGATGTCTGTTAGTGAGTGTGTGTTTGTCAATGAGAGTGTATGTTTTGTAAGTGAGTGTGTATGTATGTCTGTCGCTGACTGTGTCTCTGTCAGTAAATGTGTGTGTCTGTTAGCTAGTGTGTATGCGTCTGTAAGTGTCTTGGCGCTGGGGATCCCTCAGCCTCTCAGCTCCGAATGCGACCGCGCACGCATTCAAACCGCCCATAGGAAAGCATTACTCAATGCTTTCCTATGGACGTTCAGTGTGCTCCTCTAGCGGCTGTCAGTGAGACAGCCACTAGAGGCTGGATTAACCCTCAGTGAAACATAGCAGTTTCTCTGAAACTGCTCGTTTTCCTGGCACTTTAGTGCCCTGAGGGTGCCCCCACCCTCAGGGACCCCCTCCCGCCCGGCTCTGGAAAGGGGTAAAACTTACCTTTTTCCAGCGCTGGGCGGAGAGCTCTACTCCTCCGATCCTCCTCCTCTTCTCCTCCCCGTCAGCTGTATGCGCACGCGCGGCAAGAGCTCCGCGCGCATTCAGCCAGTCACATAGGAAAGCATTCATAATGCTTTCCTATGGACGCTGTGAAAATCACAGTGAGAAGCACGCAAGCCCCTCTAGCGGCTTTCAATGAGACAGCCGCTAGAGGAAATAGGGGAAGGCTTAAACCATTCATAAACATAGCAGTTTCTCTGAAACTGCTATGTTTATGAAAAAATGGGTTAACCCTAGTTGGACCTGGCACCCAGACCACTTCATTAAGCTGAAGTGGTCTGGGTGCCTAGAGTGGTCCTTTAAGTGTGTGCATCTGCATGCACTGGCATACATACAGCGGTCGCAGCCCTGTAACCCCTGCGACCAGGTGCCCACCGCCATGTGTTGCGGCCCGCGTGCGGGGGGGGGGGCCCACGGATCAATTTTCGCACCGGGGCCCCATGGGTCATGTGTACGCCACTCGACACGCACCTTGCATGCCCTGGACCGCTTCAGAGAGGGCCTGCTGATCCTGGCGGGGGATCTTAACCTAGCCCTGGACCCACGGCTAGACACCTCCTTAGGAACTAGCTCCCTACCGGCTTCCTACCAACGCAAGGCCCTGGTGGCCCTCAAGAACGCGGGGTTGGCGGACTCGTGGCGAGTGGCTCACCCACTGAGGAGGGACTACTCCTACTACTCTACGGTCCACAGTCGCTACAGTCGGTTGGACTATATCTTCCTCCCCATTGAATACCTCTCGCTCTTGCACTCCAGTGGGATCCACACGGCAACCTGGTCGGACCACGCTCCGGTCTGGACTAAGATCGCCTCCCCGCTGTACAGGCCACGGGAGAAGCAGTGGCGGTTCAATGAGCAGGTCTTGGAGGAATTGGAGGCGACAGTGGAGATGGGTGACGCACTGCAGAAGTACTTTGAGGAGAACACCACCCCAGACGTGGAACCACCGATGATATGGGAGGCTCATAAATGTATGATCCGCGGCCATCTCATACGTTATTGTACCCAACGGAAGAAGGCCCAAAGGCAAGCAGTCACGGACCTGGCACAACAAGTGGCAACCCTCGAAACCCTACATAAGTCTACCCTCTCAGAGGATACCTACAGAGAACTCCTGGAGGCGCGGAGAAACCTCAAGCAATTGCTCTCGCAGGGCCTTCTCCGAACCATTCGCAGATCCCGACGACACTTCTATGAATACTCGGACAAATGCGGGAGGCTCCTGGCCAGGCGCCTGCAAAGGGAACGGAGACTCACACACATAACCAAGATCCGGGACCAGACTGGCGTGCTCACTCAACGCCCAGACGGAATAGCGACGGCCTTCCACCACTTCTACACGGACTTATATAACATCCCAGAAACGCGAGGTGCAGCAGCCCGGAAGAGGCGTGAAACCGATATCGCGCACTACCTGGAACAACATATCTCCCGGACTCTCACGGACGACCAAACGGCTGAAATGGAGGAACCCATTTCCCTGGAGGAACTCAAATATGCTCTTAAGATCGCCAGAGCCCACTGGGCGCCAGGCCCGGACGGCCTCCCCGCGGCATATTATAAAAAGTTTCAAGACATCTTGCTGCCACACCTCCTGGGAACCCTGAATCACCTACTAGAAGGCAGCCACCTCCCGAGAGATACACTGGCTGCCACTATCTCTCTTATCCCAAAAGACGGGAAGGACCTGACGAACTGTTCTATTTACAGGCCGATCTCCTTACTCAACTCTGACTTGAAACTGTTCACTAAAATACTGGCCTTACGGGTGGGGCGCGTATTGCCGGACCTGGTGCACCCGGATCAAGTGGGATTCATCCCCGGCAGGGAGGCACGCGACAACACCATCAGGGCCCTCAACGTGATCCACCTGGCGGGGAGCGGCTGGAAGGGGGTCCTCCTCCTCTCGACCGACGCCGAGAAGGCGTTCGATCGGGTGGACTGGGGGTTCATGCTGGCGACGCTCCGTACGATGGGATTCGGGCCCCATATGATGACCTGGATAACTGCCCTTTACACAACACCAACAGCCCGTATGCGCATCAATGGGGCCCTAACACAGCCATTCAACATCCGTAACGGCACGAGACAGGGGTGCCCGCTGTCCCCCCTCCTGTTTGCCCTCTCCCTGGAACCATTCCTGGGGGCGGTCAGACGGGATGGGGGAATCACGGGCTTCGCCTATAAAGGTCTGGAGCAGAGAGTTGCGGCATACGCGGATGATCTCCTCTTCTTTCTTGCCAACCCACTCATCTCTCTCCCGAACCTACTAGCAAGGTTCCGGGAGTACAGCCTGCTCTCTAACCTTAAACTCAATGCTGAGAAGTCGGAAGCCTGCCCTTTAAACCTAACTGCCGCAGACACGACTCACCTACGGACACAGTACCCATTTAAGTGGTGTGCGGATAAGCTCAAATACCTTGGCATATGGCTCACCGGAGACACGAAGCGCCTATTCCAGGAGAACTTTGTCCCCATTCTCCGCACACTACAGCATGACATGACGACTTGGGGCGGCCTGTGCATTTCATGGTTCGGGAGAATCAATGCCTTAAAACTAAACCTTCTTCCGCGACTTCTTTACCTCTTCCAGACCGTTCCAATTATGATACCCAGGACCTTCTTTCAGACGCTTAATACGGCGATGATAAAATTTGTGTGGAAGACGGGACGACCTAGGGTTAACGGGGCGCTCCTGTCTCTGCCCAAGAGCATGGGGGGCTTAGCCCTCCCTTCACTAGTCCATTACTACAGGGCCACCCACCTGCTTCGGCTGGTGGACTGGCACACACTAAACTCAGACAAGCTATGGAGGGAACTAGAGAACGTACAAGTGGATCGAAGGCTGCCAGCCGCGGTATGGACAGCGCACCCCCTAAAGGACCCTAGAATGACCCACAACCCGTTTATCAGGGCCAAGACGCAGGTTTGGATTGCCACTCGCCTGAAGGACGGCCTCACTACAACGCCGGGTCCTCTGACCTCTATTACCCATAACCCAGATATCGCGGACGGACTACGACCGGGGGATGTGTTGGGACTCGGGGACCCGGACTGGACATACATGAAACAGCTATGCTCCGCCACGGGACTGAAAACACTGAGGGAACTGATCCCAGACGGCACCGTCTCTCTAATGACTAGGTTCCGCCATCATCAGATTCAGCATTTCTACCGAACCACGGTGGGCAAACATTTATTTCATAGAGAGCTAACCGCTTTTGAGCACATGTGTGTGGCCAGGGATCGACCACTGAAAGGAATCACACGACTCTATACCCTACTGCTTACCGCCACACCACGCGCACCACCACGATATATGTCCCGCTGGGAACACGCTACAGACCAAACACTGACAGACCAACAATGGGAGAAGATCCACGTGCTAACACACCAAGGCACGCTCAGTTCAAAACTGCAGGAACTTAACTACAAGATTATGGTCAACTGGTATAGAACCCCAGCGAAACTACATCGCATGAATCGAGAAACTCCTGACGTTTGCTGGAGGTGCGGAGCCGAGGGTGGGTCAGACTACCATATATGGTGGTCGTGCCCTACAATCCAGCAGTACTGGAAACAAATTCATTCTAAAATTCAAAGCATCGCGTTCCCGGACCTACCGTTCCAGCCCTTGCCGATGCTACTCCACCACACCACACGCCCTATAGCTACATACAAACGCTCCCTGACCAAACACCTACTAAATGCAGCAAAATCTCTCATCCCCACCAAATGGCGCGCGACGGAGCCACCGTCGATGGAGCAATGGATGGAACGTGTGGAGGACATATACAGTATGGAATCCCTCTTGGCATCGCTACACGGCACGGGAGACAAATGTGCTACCACCTGGCTCCCTTGGTGCACCTACATAGCCCAGAGATGAACCGCAGGGACGGCTGCCACTAGGTAGCGGAGAACCAGGGAAGATCTAGATCCGCCCCTCCAGTGATCATATGAGATACAGGAGTCCGCCTACCAGCCTCCCCTCCCTCCCCTCCCTTTTTTTTTGTCCCTTCCTCTCTTCTCTCTTTCTTTCCCACTGCACACCTTTTTCTTTCCCCCCAGTCAGGAGGTCATTGGCATGACTGTGATGGTCAGGGGATAGGGGGAACCCATGGCCCGGACAGGTGGTCGGGAGTGGGGCTTGGGAGGGGGGTGGAACTTTGGAGAGGGACAGCTCTTGGAGCCAAACCCTGGGTGGGGAATACAGTCAGGTCCAACGGGGGGGACAGGCGGACATCCCACACTGAGTACCCTGACCAACTCGACGAGTACGCAACCATAGCAATCTGGACGCGGCGGACAGGGAGTTGACATGCCCCACCCAGCACCAGTACACCTGCGGCTTCCCACGACTGTCCACCAGCTCGGCCCCTTAACTAGAGGTCACCCCCCTAACCTGACAAACCAGAGAGAATCCCCACCAAGACACCGAACTGAACCCTGACTTGCGCTGATCAACACACTCCAACTATATACATAGCATACACTCTTGCATACACATGAGAAACCAAGAGACAAGAAGGGCGCTCTACCAGGTTGACAGCCCAAAACTAAATGCCTCATTTCACGAGGGCGCTCATGGAGGGCTTGATACAGTTCGCTAAAAGTTGCTTGTTACTATTATTTTCTACCCAAGGTAACTGACGAGAGCATTGATATGGGAGGTTGGATATATGGCTATATCTGAGCTGTAAAACCTTGATTGTTATCCTTCTTTCCTTCTGTTTCCCACATACTTTATTATCTCAATAAAAATTGATTGGTTAAAAAAAAAAAAAAAAGAACAGCCTTTGCCTTGTTGCTGGCTATTGTTCCTCTCGCTTCTAGTAACTCCTTTAATGTGCTGCGTTTCAAAAGTGCATAATTCGTTTCCATTCACCGGCTGTTCGTGCGTTTCCACGTACTCCCGAACTCCGGTTTCATCCGAATGGCTGTGCTCACGAATTGCTGTTTCTTTCCTTCCGTTCGTTTTAATTCCTGCCGAACCCTGCTTTGCTGTGAGGTTAGAATCCCACCGCTGCCACCAATTGTAGCGGAGTAGTAGTATTATCCACGGTATCTCCACTGGTAGACAGAATCAAGCAGGCACAAAGCAGGTAAAATCCAGGTAGCGTAGATACAATCCCTTCCTCCCAAGAACTAGACGACACATAGCTTGGAGGTCAACTGAGGTTTATTTTCAGGTCACGGTATTTATGGGATTCCCCATGCAAGGGGTTTCCCTACTGACATTTCAGGGGTTGTACAGTAGGGGACTACATGGGGAACTGACCAACAGACACAATTTTCCCATCATACACTGCTGGACGAGAGGGATACTCCCACTGGAATATACTGTTAATGGGATTATCCCTCCGTGCAGCAGAACTCACTTTTCCCATTAAAATACATAACTTTAACAATATTCTCTAGTTTTACATGAATGGATGTTCGGTAGATAGCTGGAGGCTGAGCGCATCGTTCGTGAGAATACCGCTCAGCTCCCAGTCTAACTAACCGAACGCCGTACGAAATACACATAATTTCTAACATAGGTTTTAAAATACCGATTATCGTAAGGGGAATAAACTACCGACCGGCCGAGGTTCCCGAACGGCCTGGAAGTCCAGAGGTGTTCGCGCCGTCGAGTAGCCGTTTTTAGTTCCAGACGCTCGACGACAAAACACCGCTGGGCTAACAAAAGGAACAAGATGGCCGACCGCCACGTGGTCGGTATTCGAACGACGGCCACCTAGAAACACTCTTAATTACCGATTGCAACATTGTTGCAATCGGTTAATGGGTGCCACACGACCCCCTGTGTGTGGTCGTGCGTTCGGTATGTTATTCGTTTCACGAACAGTGTTTAATTCACTGTTCGTGAAACTTCATTAGAAATGCTGGGGTTTTCATACCGCCAGCATACGAATGCCCTCATTTCGCCTGAAATACAAATAGCATTGATTTCTATGGCTTAGCGACAATACACACATCCTTATGCATTGATAGTCTCTGGTGGCTAGTTTTGCCACACGTGCTGTTTTTGCTGCCAGTGCCCTGCTGGACAAAACTAATGACTTTGTTCTCGGACATCAACTGACTGTCCTTGCTCCCCATGATATCGCTGCAATCCTAAATCAGGTTCAGCCAAAACATCTCTCATCTCAGAGACATCTCCGCCTTCAAACCTCCCTCCTCTTGCCTGATAATGTTACTTTACAAAGATGTTACTCCTTGAATCCGGCCACTCTTATGCAACTTCCCAAGGGGGGAGTGCCGCAACACTGGTACAGCCTGGACATAAATCCTGACGTTCACATGGAACTTCAATTAGAAAAGCCCATAGTTCCACATGATGAACAGCCCAAGAGCTACTTACATT